CTCCACCCAGGTGTATAAGTGGGTACCGGCGAATTTTATCCTAGGGGTAACCCTGCGATGGGCTAGCATTTCATCCATACTTCATGCTACAGAAACCGGAGATAAGCTGTGACGGAATAGACCATTTAGCCAGGAGGTGAACTTTACCTATTCATCAAACTATACTGCACGTAAGTAAACGTCCAGAAAGATATGCTAACACTCTTGTTTTGGTGTTTTTAGTTTACCGTATGGAACAAAGCATTTCAGAGAAGAAGATCCAGAACGACATATAACGCCCTCGGTAAGATTTGATGTAATATGAAAAATCTTGCTGCTTTATACTGAGTTTTATAAGTTGTGTATTTGAACAAGAGCAACTGAAAGTGGTTTAAATCTAATTAACAGTGATATCACAAACTGTTCTTTACAACACTTAGATAACGTCTCGTTCATTGCGACCCTTATCAGAAAATCTGGTTCGATAAAAGAATCACTTGGATATGAACTTTCAGAATGATCAAAATCCAGTTTCTCTTTACAGTATCAATACATTGTCTAGCAGACAGGTGATGAGAATAGCGATCATCAACCAGGAGATATTGTCTTGATGTGAAACCAAATTCTCAGAACTGGCATAAAAGAATTGTATATTAAGCGGTAAGGAGAATTACTATTTTGAGGTACGGAACAGAGAATAACATATTTCCTTTTCCTTTCTTTCTGCAGAGATTTCAAACAGTGGTCTCTCCGATTCCTGTGTTCGAACAGTTTGGGAAAACGTACTGATGTCCTTGACACAAAAACACTTAGAAAAATTATAAAAATAGTTAGCATAGTGTTTATTGCTACAGATAACGGGTTTTTTTTAAAGAAAACTTTAAAATGTCTCTTATTTCAAGGGAAAAAACTGGTTTGCGTTCGGTTAATTTTGACTCGCAAATTCGCTTCAATAAACAATTTTCTTCCTACCCAAGACAAAGGTTTATCTAGGCTGTATATAGTATTCCGAACTGTATTTCTGCAATTGATATGAAGACTCTAGCCCTTTGTAAATTATATTCAAAGAAGTAGCAAGCTTTTCTTGTAAATAGTTAGCATGCAGTTCACGTATCATGTAAAATATTATCTTAGAAATATCTACGTTGACGAAATAAAAACACGGCAAGCCACGTTTGACTTTTTATTTTATTTTATAGCGTGTGGATTTGAGCACGTTTTTCGTATTAAATAGCGTTAGTAATAAATAACAAGGTTTAGAATTTGTAAATTCAGAATAATCGCGGATATAAAATTCTTGATTTCGAATGAGGAGTTGATTTCCAAAACCCGAAATTCATTTATCTTGCCGAAAGGTTCGGTGTTGAATCTCATTGAAAGCCGAAATTTGGACAATGAAAACACCAATTATAAACTTCACACAATAACGTTAGATGCTTGGAACTTATACTGAATTATTTTATTTCAATTCATTTGGCGTCATTTACTATATATAAACAGCTGAACAGAGGCAAAATAAATCTTAGGATTAGTAAACTTTGTGGTGTGATTACTAGTTCCCAGTACTTCGCCAAAACTGATGGAAAAGAAGATTTCTCTTTAAAAAAAATAAAATGAAATATAGGCATATCAGAAATGAGTACTCTGTAGTTCATATCGCTATGTTACATAACGTTATTCATGTAAATTTAGTCAATTACGTGTACCGGGTACTGTAAACTGTGTGTTTGCGTTCGCATTCATAATTTCAATGGCTTGCTGGAGGACCGCCGCTGCAGTTCTTAGATTTTCGTGCTATAAAATCTGGAATTTTCTCTTTTCTCTAAGCGTTAACTTCGTCTTCGCTTCTCCTGATTTACGGCTTTGATATCTTTTGCTTTTGGTTCTGTCAGAATGCAGGGCATAACTCCGAGAGCGAAATAAAACCAATTCTGTTGAGGCAAAGATTGATGCTTAAAACCGGGCCGCTAAACTTAATATTTCAATACTTTGCCCTTACAAGATTAAGCTTATAGTAAACTTTACCCCATCTTTGTTGCTGGTGATTTTGCCCAGAATTGTTTCATTGGTTGAGCCGAAAATTTGGTAGATATGTTGTAAACTCTGCCATGACGTCTTAACAAAATAAACACAAAAGTCTCGAGCTCACGGAAATCTCATCATCTTGTTTTTTGTTTTTTTTTTAATTCATATGCTTTTCATATGCTTTTCAAGTAAGCGAGCCAGTAATAATGTAATACGTCAAAAATCATTGTATCGACTACAAGGAATAGCTTCCGCTGCTCTGTGAAAGGACTCTTACATACAAAGAGGTGTTTTGAGTCGATTGATGCAAATTTAACTCCATCCTCACTTAGGATTTTGCTTTTCATTTTAAATTGAGTCCTCCAATCTTTTCACTAAAACTCCGCTGAAAGCCACCTGCCTTCGCTGGCTGAAGGACTTTGATGTTATGGTTTTTCGAAAGTTCAAAGCGCTGCGTTTTCGTCAAAGTTGAAAATTTTCTAAGAAACCGGCGTGATGTTTTTCCACAAGGCGCCCTTGGCTTTCATCATCTTCTTCCTCGTCGCCGCTGTGCTGTTTTTCTGCTTCCTAGCATATTTCTATCTGTGGATGTGTTGTCGGAAGCGATACCGCCTTAAAGAACAGAAAAAACAGGCTACGACAGAAAGGAAAGCGAACGAGGAGCGTTTCCACGACCTAGCGAAGCCTGGAGAAAACGACGCTGAGTCGGCAGCCAAGGGAAACAAATTTTATCCAATTGTATTCCACAACAAGAAACAGGAAACTGCCGAACTGAAGCTTCTGTAAAACGAGAGTAACAATTTATTGGTTACGTCAAAACTAAACTGCTTTCTTGTACGGTCAATTAACAAACTATACCTGGAGGAAAATAACCGAGGCAAAGTCAGTTTGGAATATAGACGCATTGGATTTCATTACGCGTTTTTAATGTTTTAAAAGAAACGAACGAAATTTAAATACCCTAAGCTAGATGTACTTGTATTATTTACGTTTTGTGAATTGTGTTTTCCGTTAGTTATCGATCGACTACCACTTCGTTCTGTTGCCTTTTCCATTAAAAGAAGTCATATGACTGCAGTGAGATCCCTAAAGTGTGTATTGTGTTGCCTCAAAACTGATATACAAACAGTATCTCGAAATTTAGCTAAAAATCAAGAATACACAACCTACATTACAGATTGTTTGTCGAAGAGGAGATAATTCAATCAAAACGAAAGATATGATTTCAGTTGCGTCTCATGAATGCTAAAAACTTAGTTTCTGTTTGTTTAAAAACAGGCCATCCATTCAAACTACTCGGGTGGGCTGTATTCATGTTTCAAGTCAACTTAGTGAAGTAGATTCAAATTATCTGGTGACAGAAACTTGGACCAAAAATGTATTTGCAAATTTTCATTTCGTGTTTATTTGCACGGCAGACAATGATGGAAAACGAATATTGATTTGTCCGTCTTCCATTGAATTACGAGCAATTATCAAAATTGATTTGCTTTTCATAAAACATTTAACTGTTGAAATTCATGCAAAGAAGAAATTACGGTTCTTTTAAGATGTATAAATTACTGTAGGTGGATGTCCCACGCTGTTTTATCTCACTCACGTTAATACTCTCTCAAAATAGCTTTCGTGCTCTTTTCCTGAATAATTCACATTTCTGATAATGTCCATGCGGCCCAAGGACTGTATCTGACGTTGATTCACAGCAGCTGCGCTCAGATGTTTCGCAACGAACGCTCTAAACTTTTTACAGGAAATTTACTTTTTTTAGTCCAAAACATGCTAACACGAAGCTGTTAATATAGAAATACATTAACTTACCTCAACAGGTCTCAACATAAGGTTGTCTTTGTGTCTCATATACTTTGAATACAATTTGGGCGCAAATATATCGAAAAACTGACCCAGAAGCCACGCGAAACCAATTAAAAAGTGGACACAATTTGCGCTCAATTTGCAGCAATATAAGAGACAAAGACAATAATCTGTTTAGGTTAGTGAAGTTTGTTTCTACATTGATGGATTTATTTCAGCATGTTTACTGGACTAAAGTGCATTTTTCATGCAAAGTCCATGAAGCGTTCGTTGCGTAACATCAAAGATTGAGCTTGGCCTGCTTGTGGCTAGCATATCGAAGCGTATCAAAGACCTTACTACAGTTCCTAAAAACGTTCAGTTAATGTTTGCGTAGCCTGCGAACAGGCTCCTGGGGAGGACGGAAAAAAATTCGAAGAGCGCGAAACTGAAGAACTCGGAGAGCGAAGCGATCTTGGGGGGCGGTCTCTCTTCCTCAGTTTATTTTTCCAAAACTTGGAGACTTGTGAGTTTACTAGTAAGGAGGAAAAGGAGTAAATGATCGAAAAAGGGTCTAAAATTAAATTGACAATACTCTAACTCCATTTCCTCGCTTGTGATACTTTTCTAGGGTTCGATTGTTTTAATTTCCCAAACGTTTCAGGGCAAGATATAAGAGAGGCAAGACCCATAAATGACACAAAAGCCATTAAACTAAACTTAGCACTGAGGAAGGGTTAGGCTCGAAACGTCTGCTATAAGCATCGTTTCAATTTTGCACTGAATAATTACTATTTACAACTGTTAAAAGCCATTATAATCCATCATATATTTTCACTCGCACGCGATTGGTCTAAACACGTCACGTGCTTAGGCCAAAACTGCGCGTGTTGCGAAAACTATTATAATAATCACAATAGCCTCCATTTGTCGCGAAAATATGCTCAGATATTTGTCCTTGGACATTATCTGTTCCTTGAAGCACATAGTTTTCCTCGAGCTACTCTCTCAGAAAACCATTCACTTCTCGGAACAGATAATGNCCCCCCCCCCCCTCCCCACCCCCCGAACAGATATAACTGTCCACGGACAAATATCCGAGCATACTTTCGCGCCAAAGCTAATGCTGTCCAGCGGTCGAGGACAGTAGGAAGAGAGCTATAAGGGAGGTATAAGGACAAAGCGACCCCCAAAGCGAAGGAAAAATCCGCGAGGAGATTGACTCGTGGCTCATCTTTGTAGTTCTCTCGTAAAGCTACTTGAGGTCACAAAAAATATATACAAACAAGGAAGTAAACAAAATGTAAGGTGGTCTTCACTTGTGGAAGCGCTGATACCGATAAAGATTGGTGTATTGTCCAGTGTCTTCCACAGCTGTTAAGTTCTCAAGCCACAGGGGCACCTCACCTCAAACTAGTGGATGAACGAAAGATAATCTTATATGTTCTCGGGGGACATTCTTCGTTTCATGAGCGGCCATTTTAAAATTTTCAAATACGCGGTCTCCTAGTAGTGCGAGGTCTGGGGCCCAAAATACGTGGACTGGGACCGCTCAGAAAATTGAAAAATTGTCAAAATTCCTGGAACATGGATTGGATCGCGCACCGGGAATAATAAAGTTCCATAGCTATTTTGGCCAACGTCTGAAAATTCCTCTGTTCCGCACCTCGCACCAGATTCTTCCTCTAATTTTTTTTGGATTTTATTAATTTTTAATGATTTGAAGTTACTTACAATTTCCTCTAATTTGATGAGAGCCCCTGTGCCCAAAGGGCCACTGTCTACATGCACGTGCGCTCTGCCAACTCTAGTACCTCTCGTTATGGATCGCAGAAATCGGTTTTTACGTTTAAGCTCAAAATACAAACTCTCCTAACAGACTAACAAACATTCCCTCTATTTCAGTTGTGAGATTTCGGTGGTGAATCTTCACCTTGTTCAAGTTGTTGAGAGTGAATACTGCATGTAACCTGCTATCAGGTGTCTCTCTATCTCTTTTGAATCGGAGGAGGGGGTTGTGATTGCAGGTTACACAGCATGAGGAAATGAAAAGTAGATTTCGTTGCCACATTAACTCCAGGCACACAACGAAAACAACTGTTTTTGATTTCCTTTATTTTATTTACATATTTTGGATCAACATAAACTACAACTTGATTGTCTTATTTACTGCTGCGTTTCAGCTTTAAGATCACCCGTTCTACAGTTTTACAACACAAGAATAATTATATCTCGTTTAAATTGTAACTTCGTGGTAATAATTTTGTTCATATAAAATACGAATGATTTACTGATTTAACGTTCTCGAGTTTCACTGATACGTATGCGGAAGTGACATCTAACGGTTGTAAAAGATATTTTTCGATGTGATTACCAAAATAGACTCCAAAAATAATTCTTCAACTAAGAATTGAGAATGAGAGCGGCTGAAGAAAATTTACGATCTAAAATTGAAAAGTAATTAGCTTTACATCTCTTTAGTGGTAAAAATGCATGCTTGTGATGACAACCGCTAGCCAATAGAACGCACTATGAGTAAAGAAAATGACCTCACTAAACTAACTTTACGAGTTCTATCGGCCGCTAAATTCCGAGTGTCTCCGAAAATAATCGAGATCTTCCGAAGTTATGCGCTAATCAGGTTGTGTGACGAATGAATCCAACTAACTGTTTGAAATCCTTCTCTTTTTTAAATCTGTGTTTTTATTAACAAAACATTGCCATTGTCAGGAAGTGGCAAAATAACTAAACCAAGAAAGGACGACCAATAGGAGAATCTTTGTTTACAATATTTGCCTCATTAGCATAAGCGATACAGTTTCTGATGGAGCTACAAAAACACTAGTTCTAAATATTAAAGGGCACAGCACGATTAACCATCCCAAGGAATTTGAGCACGACGTATTAAATACTTTTTGTGCGACGCGGGTTTAAAAACTCAAAATTTTACAAAGATTGTATGAACTCATTAGCGCTTTTGCCATCCAGAGATCTTGCTGGTTTTGAAAGCCCATTTCTCCTCGAATATTACACCCACAGAAGCAAAAATTTCACCAATTACTAAGTTTCACAAATTCTTTAAATGTTCGTAGTCAATGCGTGTCTTGCGTGATGCCTTCTGTACGCAAAGTCGTATGTTAATGAGGAAAAATGTAAACAATAACGTCAGCAAAGATTCTCCTATATAGATGTCAGTACGTATGATGCCCCTGTGTGGAAGATCACCATATATGGAACATGTTCCTACGTAATGGTGTTCCTCTACACTAGGTTTCTTGTGTTGCTGTTTTTTTTCACTGAGTACAGTTGTTTCCAACACTTCTCCAGTAAAAGCATAATTCAAAAACGATTTTGGAGTCCATGACAAGGTTTTCACCATGGCACGGTTGTCTGAATAAATTTTTTATGGACTAAAATGTCGTAGAATTAGCACAGATATTGAAAGGATAATAACTACAGTACTTCAAACAATACCATAACGAATCAATTTAAATTAACTTGTCCATCGTTAAATATGTCCACAGGATACCACGAAATATATACAGGCCAAAAGTCTACTAAGGCATATTTCTCAATTTCTCTCTGGTGATCTTAATTACAAAATTGATATTTTTATTCTAAAAAAAGAGATATTGTTTTGCATAATTATTTCAACAACAACTTTGCAATTTTTAAAAAAAGTTAACCCCTCGCCATAAGCTGTTCACTTTTTCACCCCAGCTGGACAATTCCTTGCTCAGTCTAACAACAACTCTAGAATTAAAGGTCTGACTGTTGTAAAATCCCTTTTAGAAAGCAACTTTACCTTAAACACGATACTTACTACCCTGGAACCATTACTATAACACTTAACTTTTCTGTATTATATTGGCTGTTTTAAAGTAGACTTGCCTACTGCAAGTACAACTTGAAATATTTTTGGTATGTATTTTGTTTTTAGCCAAAATATATTGATCAAATACAAAACCCCTCCATGCCAGTTTTGTGAAGTAATTTTTCCCGCTCTCTGGATCAAGATATTATCGTTCCTGTGATAAAATCTAGGTCGTTATATTGACGTAACTGGCCTTTACATATGACTGACTCATTTACTCTCAGAGTCAAGCCTGCAATATATATATGGACTGTATACTTTTGATTTGGTTGTCACTTTTATGTCTGTGGATGAAACCCTAGTGTGCGACCATTCAAATGAAAGCTGAGCAGTACTTTCATGTGGTACTGTTTGTTTTAAGGTCATTTGAGACTTTCGAACTCTTGAGAGTGAAAGGGTAACTTCTGAGCTTGTCTTTCTTTAGGCCGCTACACCCACTAACCCCTAACGTTAAGATCCCTGTCAATAAGTCATACTTATTTCAATTTTAGCAAATAAAATGTTTTGAATTTCACTGCTCCATGATCACTTGATCACTGGAATCTGTCATTACAATCAATGGACTGTTGTCTAACAATATTCATCTCATACATACAACATAACAAACCAGAGTACATTGGACCATCTGCAAAACAGAGGGATACAAAGAGAGAGCCCAGCACAACACTGCTTTGGCTGCAGCACTCCTTCATTGTTGCAAAGGCTTCGCATCCAACATGTGCTAGCTTACTGCAGCTGCAGAGCCTTGTGGGACAGGGCTTGATGTACCAGATGTGACACTCGGTGATGGCATAAATGCAGAGTTTGCCAGTTCCAGCAGTGCGTCAGCACCAGCGATATCATTCAGTTTTTCAGCCGTGCTATCTTTGCGGCCCCGTTTAATACACGATGCAGGCCTGTCCCGGCTAGCTGTGCGCTTTCCTTCAATTTCATCTTCAAATCCTTGGCCGTAACCACTGTCACTCAACTTATCACTCAGCTCATCCTTAACAACCTTCTCCATGGTCTCTTCAATTTCACTGTCATCTTCGTCATCCGAGTCGCCATGGTGATCAAACTCAAACTCACCATCAAGAGACGAGTCGGGTGAAATGTCTTGCCTCATCCTCACAGTGTCAATCTTACTGAGAGATGATGACAGGGGTTTTCTGTTGTTTCTGTAAAGTGAATTTAATTAAAACACTTGTTATATCAAACATTTATAAAAACGTTCACCAGCTGTAACAGTAACAGTAACTTTTATCGATATGTATGGGTTATTGACCAAGNGGTAGTCCCGAGCGGGCAAGATAGCTCCATCTTGCCCGCTCGGGTAGCCAATCACAGCGCAGGATTTGATTCATCTCGCCCGCTCACGGAGCTAGCCATATAATGAACAGTTGTATGATAAGTTTACATGCCTTAGTAGCTCGCAGCTAGCAAAGCTATACTGGGTGAGCTAATATTTCTTTACGAGTATAGTTATATAAAGTTAACTTTCAAGCTTTCAGTTCCAAGACTACAGCCTGCGATAAATAAAAATGGAAACAATGACAGCTACAAACAAATACAAAAGAAGGTGGGACTATAAAAAGAATACAGTGAATATTAAAATGGAAAAAATATAAGTGTCAATAAACTAATAATTGTTCTTTTTTAAAAGAGTAGAGTATTGATTGGGGAGAAGCCTTGAATTGTTATCTGCTTGATTTATCAAAGTGTTGTGACATGATTCTAGAATCTTGCAAATACAGATTGAAAGAATCCTTGTCCATCACTTGAGACTTTTTAAAGTCAACAGAGTGATTTGAAGACCAAGCGTGTTTAGCGATACTGGAACCTCTTGCACAAGACTTCCCATTCCTCATGTGTTCTTTTTAGCTAGTTTCAAAACATCTGCCAGTCTCGCCTACATAACTCCCTGGACAATCAGCACATATTTTGAAAACCACATTTGGTTGAGGTAAGAAGTTCAATCGGAGGTTGGGATTTAGGAGAAAGAAACTCCTGTTGTTATATCACCTAAATTTGTGATAACACTTGCACACTTTTTTATTGTACAAGGGTGTAACAGGCACCATAAAAATAGCTGACAGAGCCCCTTTATTTCTAACAAGCAGTAGAACCTCACCTTCTGTGGGATTCTATTAGCAAGGATGAATTCCTGTCCTTTGCCATGGAAACAGCACCAGAGAATGATCCTCTGTGTCTGTACAAAAACTCTTTGGCTTTTTTAACCAAGAGGTCCTCTCTGTCAGTTGCAGAGGGTGGACATGATTGGCATCGCACCACTAATAAAACAAATAACAATTAGTCACCTTTGTATGCAGCTACAAATTATTATTCATTTCTATTAGCTATTTTAATTGTTAAATAATTCCTCTTTGCAGATACCATAAACTGTCATTCATAAGGCCCCCTGGTTATCCCCCCCCCCCCTGCACCCCTGGTTATAGGCCCAGCTACCTGTAAACAAAAATATACATCCAGTTATAAGCCCCCCGCATATAAGTCCCCCTCCAGCTTCCCTTGTTTTGAATTCATTTTATTATGATGTTTTAAAGCTTAATTACCAGTAAATGAAGAACCTATTTCAATCAACATGTGACTCTATAGCTTGTTTCAAAACGGTTTTTTATTCCAGTTATAAGCCCCTCAGTTTATAAGCCCCTCAATTTATAAGCCCATCTGTAAGTCCTTCATAAGCCCTTACCAAGTTGTTTAAGCCCAGGGCTTATAAGTGGCAGTTTACGGTATCACCATAACATATTTACAGCCAGCCAGCCAATCAGTGAGTAAGTCAGTCCCTGCGTCAGTCAAAAAGTCAGTCTAAAAGTCAGTTGCTCATTCAGTCTGTCAGTTGGCAAGTCGGTTAGTCAAACAATCAGTCACCCAATTACTCTGTCATGCATGTTTCTGTCTTTCTTAGAACAATCTGGTAATTTTCTCAGAGACAAGAGGTACTTACTTTCTGCCACTCTCACTTCAGGAGGTGTACTAATCATACAGATTGTGGCCACAGCTTCTGCCTCTGCATCAGGATCAACATCAATTTTCCCTGAAGTTATGAAAATTAATGCCTTTAATTAAGCCCTTCAAGTTATACCAGTAAGTTTGAAAATATTGCCTCTCCTTAAATATTTGCCACACATTCTATTAGCACAAGTTCTGAGGAAAGGCAAATCTCTTTCAACAATTTTCACCCATTAGCGTAAGCACATGTACTTAAATGTCTGACAAGACTGCAAATAATTTTTGTCTAAAAGCAGGTCATTTGTCAGGCCAAGGAAAAGTTTTGACCTGACAAAAAAGCCAGTCTGGTTGGACAAAAAAAAATTGTCTTCAGAAATTAAAAATAAGGGACATGTGAGACATTTTGGTATTTCAGTGTAGACCCTTCACCAAGCGTGACTAATTTGTACATTCATGCTTTTCACAAAAACATGTCGGTGGTGTGGAGACTATATTTGAACCACAGGGGATGTAAAAAAAACTATAAAGAGCTATAAAACTAATTTTAGATCATACGGACTAGTAAGTGAGTAAGTAACAACTTTATTTACTAAGGGTAATACATAACAGTAAAAACTGACGAACCAGTGGCCCTTTATCCTAAGTTAAAAATTAAAAACTATTTACACTATAAGATAATAAAAATTACAAAAGAGAATAAAGCTAAAAATTTAAAGATATGATAAAAGTTAAAAATGTAAAAAATCTAAATCTAGATATGCACAACTAAAAACTAAGCTAAGAGTTTTGGACAAAAAATATTTTCTAACAGAAGATTTGAAGGAGCCAATGGGGTCTTTCTTCAAATGTCTAAAGGGATACTGTTCCATAGTTTTGCTCCATTGGCTTGGAAAAATCACCTCCCTTCCGTTTCTCTGTTATAGGAGGGGCACACTAAGTTATATTCTTCATAGCAACTGGTTCTGGTGTGTCGGTCTGAGTTTCTCGAACTACTACGGACTAGAAAAACAATTTGGTTACGTTTTAGAGGTTTTAAAGTTTTTGAAAGCGATTGCATTCAGATAAACGAAAAGTGAGAATTTGGGCTGTGTATTCAATTTGCATATTATTTTAATTGGTTCAAGTTACAACTGAAAATTAATTCCACAACACTTGCAGATTACAAAAACAAAACTGATAACAAAGCTTTTTTGCATAGTATTGTTTGGCAGTATAATAAAATAACTTGTTCCATACTCAGCCACAAATTTCCAGTTAAAATATTTTTCATTGTAGCAGAAAAGCACAGTCAGAGTGTCCAACCAGGCTAAGCTTTCACCTGTCAAAACCTCAAATTTACCGGGCAATTATTGTCCGACAACAGACTGTTATTTGCAGACTTGGTCTGATTTAGCTGCAAAAATTTATATTATTTCTTTATATCAAAATAACATTGCACAATTAATTTTCCCTTGGAGTTTAGGATTGTTGTTAAACACTCTCTGTGTGATTTGGGTGTGAGGCTCAAGTTGAACAAATAAGTTGTATCCCCATGAGCAATTTTTCTACCCAAACATTTTGAAACTTTTTGAAATCCAACGTCCCCTTCAATATTGCACACAAAAAGCCCTAAGATTTCACTAATAGCCGAGTCAATTTATATATTGCACATTGCACATGTTAACCTATTTGGTGGTATCTATACAACACCTATTTAGTTGATGATTTTCTCAAGCGGTTAACCATTCTTGCAGATTATAGAGTTCACTGAGAATTTAAGAAAACACGGCACTATAGAGATACATGTACAACTACCAGTACACTTAAATCAGTTTAGACAACCATTCTACTTGCTATTGACCTCTAAGAGAAAATAACATCAAAAATAAATATATTAAACAGACTACACTTACCAGCATGGCTTCCTAAGGAGCTGCAGAAAGAATGAAAAAGTTGAATGAATATAACAAAAGGAAGCTATTCGTAATGGTTCCCTGTTCTGAAACTTTAAATTGGTATCATCAGATCCCTAATATCCCTAAACCAAACTATGGTGCAGTCTTTAGGACAGGAAAAAACAGCATCAACAAGTTCTTTGCAAACTAACTTGGGAATGGTAATTGATCAGGTGGGCAAAATAGTCTTCACAGCCAGTCAGTTTGCCCCGCACCTGGCCCTTAATTTTTAATGAAACCACTGAGTTCAGATTTCAGGACAGGAAAAAATAGCATCCACAAGTTCTTTGCACACTAACTTGGGAATGGTAAGTGAAAATTCATTAGATCTGATTTCATGAAATAAATATAAACAAATTTCATTTTGTGCTTGACACATGTATGTACATGTACATACAGTGTACATCTACAGTTGCACAGTAATAACACTAAGCATTTAGAAATCAACTGCACCTTCCAGATCCGTTGTTCTGTGGTGACGGTGGTGGTGTGGTTAGAAGATGATGATATGGGTGAAGGGCTGGTGTTTTTCTTAGAGCTTGCAGAAGGTTTGGACGATATTCAGGATCTACCGTCCACAATGATCCTTTACCAACATTCTGTAGATAAAACTATTCAAGTAAATCAGACCTGCCTTAAGCTTAAAATATCAACTCTCCTTACTTACTCAGACTCATTTCTTAAAATGTCTCTGGTAGTTCTGCAAATTTGATCGTACATCAAGACAACCACTAACTGAAAAGTTTCTATATTTTCCCCACCCATTTACTCAGGGCAGGAAAAAAAAAATTAAAATCCAGTTGCCCAGTTAGCCAGAACATTTCAGTTTCTAGTTGCCTCCACTCAAATGTTCCAGTTGCCCAATAGGCGCAATGACAAAAAGAAACCCAGAATGCTTGGGTTTTTTGTCGCCATCTTGAATCTACCACATGCTCTTTTAGTAAGTGCCAGACTTCTGTTGTACACAACATCCAATCACTTGCCCAAGAGCAAAATTTACTTTCCCCCTTTTCTTTTTTCCTTTCCTGTTACTATCAGTGCTTTCATGTGGTACTGTTTATGACGCTGCAAACAGTGGTTCTAACTTTTTTAAAGGTCCATAGATAAAACTTTAGTGTATGAACATTCAATTGAAAGTTAAGTAATAATTCCATGCAGCACTGTCCATTTTCAACATTTCCCTGAGTGGAAATGATCCAAAAATTGCTAAAATTTGTACTTTAAATACAGTTCTGTTTAAAACTAACCTGCCCTTTGTCCTTGTCCACTTTCTTGAAACATTTGTTCAAAGATAAGTTGTGCCGAACTGAGTTCTTCCATCCAAGTCTCGCATCCCGAAAATAAGGGAAATGTTCCATGATCCAGTTATAAATGTCTTTCACAGGTAACTTCTTTGAGGGTGCTTCCTCAATAGCCATGAAAATAAGAGATGAGAATGAATAAGGAGGCTTTGATGGGCTCTTCTGTTTGTTTGCCAAACTGTCTGGTGAGATAGGTCCTTTTGCCTGTCCCCCTCTAGGGGGTGTGTCAAGAATGTCGCCATTTGTGTCCCTCCTAGGGGACATGGGCGGCACTGTCGCCGACACCTCAAAGCCTTTCAAAATGTCATTGCTTTGCAACCAGTTAAGGCTTGTTAAGTCATCATCAGGGTCTCCCTTCTCTGTTCTGATGGCACTAAAACAACTACTGCTCAGGTTTATTTTTGTGCTTTCATCAAAGGAGCTTCTAAAGCTTGCACCTCCAACAGATTTACTCAGAGACAGATAAGGTTTAGAAGGAGCCTTCAATTTATCCATCTCTGGCTTGCGTATTGGTGGCATCATAAACCTGCAAATATAATTAAATTTTATATAAATTCTTTTAAAAAAAATTGAAAGCAGGGCTGTGCTCTAAAAGTGCCCGGGTGCCACAGGCAACTAACTTTCGATTTTGGGCGACTATAAAAACCTACTTTTTTCACGTAAGCTTAAGTGCTGGGCACCTAGGATTTCATGGTTAGGAACCTTTGGGCTCCTCAAAATTTACTTTTGACCGCAGCCTTGTGAAAGAATATTCTAGCAAGTCTAAAGTGCTTAGTTACACATACTTAACTGCTCATATAAATATTTACAGGGATATTTCAAACATTCTGATCGGTTGTGAATAAGCGTCTTTCAATGAGGGTCTCACTGCTAATAATTATTTTTGAAATATAAAGCATGATAATATACACATCATATATAACTCATTAAAACAAACCTGTTAGGAACAAAAGAAAAACACAGCTAGCATAATAACTAAACAAATACAGACAATTGTATGGCAACTACACAGGAATTATTTTACAAATATAAGCCAAAAAAATGATTTTTCCTCAACAGTACTCAAACACAAGTAAAATATGGACTCCATTTTAAGGAAAAAATGAAAAAACAATCAAAAATAAATTTATTCCATATATAAGACATGTAAATTTTTTCAGTTTTAGTCACAGCAGACAATGAGCTGTCAAAGGCAAACAGGTTTTTTCACAAGCAATTTCAACAAAGCCAAATATCTCCTAGCAACGAAACTATACTCTCCTTCTAGAAAAAAATGAGCTTATCTAGCAAAAGAGAACTTATAGATCAAATTTGCTCTGTTGAACATGAATATTTTTTCCTCTTCATTGTTTCAGAGAGTTTACAAAAGGTATCAATAAATATTTTTCACACTGAAGTAATTCCAAACAAGAATTCCCAAACACAAATGAACTAATTATTAAGTAGGTGAAGAAAAACAAAGTTTGACTTTCAAATGAGAAATGTGAAAACATCTGGCTATTTCTGGAGATGACTGTGGGAACAGAAATTTACAATGCACATAAAAATAACACTTGGAATTGCAAGAGGTAACCCTACTCTGAAAAGGGAGGAGTGGGGTGGGGTGGGGGGGAACAACACTGCAAAAGGGAGATTATTTTTAAATATTTGTGTGATGACCACAGTGTAATAAAGCCTACATGTATGTGACCCTTACAACCAAGTCAGTTTGTCATGTAGGCATTGTATGTTGCAAATAAAATTGAGCAATATTTTTTGCTGCAATAAATTTTATGTAATTTAATATACTGAAGCCCGAGATGACCTTGGGAACTGCATGAAATTATGCTAATACTGACAGGTATTTTGAAGTCAGTGCTGGAGCATGCCTTGAGAAATCAAAGGGATTGTTCCTCTCCTTGCCTGAGTAAGCTAAATACTACAGGTTATGTGTCATAGGTATGGATTTTCAGGCTAAATAGAAAGGGTTATAGGACCTAAAATAGAGTTTGAGTTTCAAAGGAACTAATTAAGAAATCTTACAACATACAATGCAGGCACATGTTTATTTCACCTTTCATTACCAGACATCTTGTCTTCAAAATGGGAGAAAGAGAGACACTGTCAGATAAAATGAAAGGTCACTGAATCTGAAAGAATGTGAACGCATATGTTTCAAGTCTGACATACAGACAGGATTTTATCAGGTCAGGTCTGAAAAGGACATGAAAAGGTTTTTTTTCCTGTCTTGAACAGAAGTGTCTTTAGAGCTATGTGCAACACAACTCTAATGCAAAGAAACTGATGGGGAAAAAGTGACATATTCGTTTTGCACCAGAGCTATATTTGAGACTAGAATAGAGTATGGTACTAGGCAGAAGTTACTCCAGCAACATCTTGGGTCACCAGTTATGCAGAAAAAGACACATGGCAATAGTATACCATGTTGGTTTGTTGACAAGTTTGTTGCTAGCTGCCATAGACCTAATCTTATGTCACCTGGCACTACTCTGTACTCCTTATGGATTTGTTGGTGTTAAAACCATTCAAGATACATGTACAGTTATATCATGTACATAACATTGATGGCATCCAAAGTTACATCAAAAAAGTGTTCAGTAAAATGCTCTGTGTTGTCTAGGCATAGTTTGTAGAGTGTGGTCCCTGCATGAACATGGGACCCCTATGTCAACAACAGAGTGTTACCTTTTTAGCAGCTGTTGACTGACTAGGACAAGCAAACAGTTTAAATTTATCTTCCTTTACGTCAAAATAACAAAGAAATCTGTAGTTTTGCAAATTTTAAATTTTTATCCAGCTGGATACCTTCGAGTACACTCTCTGTGAATGTGAACTTTTTCATTTGATGACAGCTAAACAGACACATGTACTCTATTTGACTGCAAATCACATGAGCACAGAGCAAGCATCATAATTATGATGTGAAAAATGTTAGCAACTGGCAAAGAGCTGTGTGCTATGTAAGTGCAAAGTGAGCACTACAAATTCAAAAGCACAGAAAAGTCGATCATTAGTTGTTTGATAACAGTGATTTCTAAAAATTAAATGAATAACAGCCACACATATGGCAACAAGATTACGCAAGCTAAGAAGACTGTGTAATCAGTATCCTGATCAACAAGATGAACAGCTGATCTGTCTTACTAACAAGAAGAGATAGAATTTCACTGAAAAGAAATCATGCAATCCTTGTACAGATTGCATCGAAACATTTAAACAAACACTAAAAAATATTAAAAAGCACGCTGAGTTACAAATTTGCTAGTTAAGAGAGACATTTATTAGTCTTGAGTAATTACTTGATGTTGCATGTTCTAGAACAACTACTCATGAAAGGTCAAATAATTCAACTCTCAGCAGGATATAAACACATATTCATAAACAAACAGTAAAAATTGTTTCCAACACCAAGATTTACCTAGAATGTTCTCATACTCCTTTTTATGCATACTGTCCTTTCCAATACATCTACAGCTTTACCACTAAGCCTCTAAGTCTAACCAACTTACACTGCATTTAACCCACTCACACTGAACCGCATTGTTTACTACTTAATAAATGATTTAAATGTGATTCAAACTATTCCAGCAATTATTAATGACCTACGTGTATAAAGTGCAATTTTGTATTCAGATAAGTCACAAAATCTTCCAGCAAAGTAATGCTCATTTGTTGTAAAACAGAAACATAGTTTTTACAAAACAGCCCTGTAAGCTGTTAAATAAATTAATAATTGAAACTGTTTGACACTTTCTAGTAAGGAGCACATTTCACTAAATAAATAGAATATGAGAGGTGGGATGAACGCTTGCTGAAATTTTTTTCCCATGATTTAACTGCCAATCCCTGATATGAGGTTAACAAGTTTTAATCTTCACCTTCTAATCTTGATCAGGAAACCACAACATACATCTCTATATTAGATTACGAACATGCTATTTAAAGCTGAGAGTTGGACAATGATCCGCTGGGCAGGTCAAAACAGGGACAACATAATCTTTATATGATGCAAAGATCAGACTAGAAAAGAACACTTCAAGATACACCAATCAAATATGTGACACTGTTTCAGTCTGCTTTAACAATGAAAATATATGTAACAAAAAATGTACACAAAGTTAAGTTGTGAACTACAATAACTACTGGTATTTATAGATACTATAGATGTATGATTGAACTTTTGGAATCAATCAGTGTTAAAAAGCCCCAGCCTGACCTTTGTCACTTGGTGAACGACCATTGCTACACAGCAGTCCTCCAATAATTATATAACATGCAATCTGCTTGCAACAGTTTGTACTCAAAGGTATGGTCTGATAATTGCAAAATAAAGTTCTGTTGCAATAATTTATGTTAAGCCAGTAACTTTTACAGTGTCCGAAAATGCGACCAGCTGGTCGCCAATGTGACTGAAAATTGAGTGTTAGTGACCAGAATTGTGAGGCTAGTCGCCTTAGGCAACTAACTTTTAGCGTCTTGAACCGGCACTCAAGGAACTGGTTTCTTTTCAAAACGAAAAAAACCCTTGTGTTTGGTTTCAAGCAAGAAACTTACCTCTTGTCTCTTTGAAGTTTTTAACTCCCATAGAAAATAATTAAGATCAAAAATAAAGGCAAGATTACTGTTAAATGACCCTCAAAACAGTTATAATTCATGCGCTGTAATCAACATTTAGCACCGCCATGTTTTCAGCGGTTTCAACTGCCAGCCATACTGTGGGCGCGTGGCAGTAGGAATATTTTCACGTGAAGAAATGTCTTGAAAAATTTCACATTTTTGTGTTTCGCTGTGAAGGAAAAATTTTATTGACTCTTTTTGGCGACCACATTTTTCCATCTGGCAACTGAAAAAAAAAATTCAGTCGCGAGTTGGTGCCTGCCTAAAAAAAGTTAATTTCGGACCCTGTTTTCATTACTTACCAAAAAAAAATCGAACTTTGATATTACAAGCAGTGGCATACATGGTAGTTATTTACAAAGAAAACAAACACTGATACATTTGTAGAATTGCTTAACTAAAAATGTGAGCTGATGACTGACGATGTTGCACACATCTCGGGTTTATGCAGTGCAGAGCTTTCCCTCCCCCCTGCCTCCTCCACCAAAATTGCTTAATGTGTAATACTTAACAAATGTTACTACATGTAGTTGCATACATGTATAACACAAAATTTACAAAAGAAACTGACAGGGAATTTTTTCGGGCTACAAAACTTGCATGACATATGCATAATCCACTGTCATGCTTTGCCGAAAGGACACAGATCTGATACTGACACAACTTAAGTCCCAGAACCTACTTATATAAAATCCCTGTTTGAAGAAAAACTATTATGTACTTGAAGCAAGTTTGGTTGCTATGGAAATGGACTTAACTAAGTCAATTGTGTTACACATTTCAAATTTGCAGTTGAAACAGTGTCCAACCTAAGCCGACAGTTAAAGATTTTTTCAGCAAAACATTTAGTTTCTTTAACCTATTTTAACTCAACTTATGAAACACTAAAATTCACTGAAGAAATAACTCTTTGAATTTGGTATATTGTAAACACGGACAGAGCTGACAAAAGATTTCAAAGTTTCATCTACATAAACTAGGTATAATTAACTTGCTAACTTTTGTTGAGAAAGCTGCTTAAAATCTACACAAAACAAAACACCTACCTATAAACAAATTGTAAAACATTGGTGGTGGTTGATGTACAAATGTACTTCTTATAAATTATACTTTCAATCTCTGCTTGAAAATTGGCTTTGTTTTTATGTTTCTTTCAATGATTTTGTGGTGCATCAATGTGGTATCTCCTTGTTGATGATTTTCTTTATTCTGATTACCTATCTACTTGATAACGTATTGAAATAGGTCTTATTTGCGATTATGTAACATGCTCAAAATTCACCACCAAGCCTTGTTTGTGCCACATTTTTTCAAACCTTCGTTGCCTTCGTGTTGTTTTAACCTGGGTATTCTTTTCATTTTTGCTGCTTTGGAAATTAGTACATGATAAAATTTAAGATTTGCATTCTCAAACTGAGCCTTGGTGGTGATTTTAGCTAGTCTGATGTCATCACGCATTAAGGCTATTGTAAGGAGAATTTCAATGCTTATCACTTGGAAATTAAATCTACATTGTGCAATCCAAGACAAATGTCCTGGGACACCTCACTGTTTTGCCAGCAAATGGTGGCTATCCCCACCCCCCTTCACCTCCAGTTCCACTCCCACCAAAAAGTTGATTTGTATATGTCCATCTGCACGACACATTTTCAACTTCATTTGGGAGGATGTAGGGTTTGCAAAATTGTACGATCACTTGTCAACGCAGCTGGATTTGACAACGCCTACTATTTGGCTAAATGTCAATGACAATTTTCCATCATTGCAGTTCATTTAGACTTGATAATATGAGAAGAGAAAATGTTGTAAAACAACAAATGAATCTACATGAATTCATGACTCTGTGATGTAGAAATGTAAACTTACGGAGATTTTCCTGCAATTTGAACATTTTACTGTAATGGTATTTATTCAGAACATAACCGTAAAACTACCAACTGCAAATGTGTTATTTTGTCTATGTATGCTATATGCAGCAAGCAAATATTGGGCTTAAAGCTAAGCGACAGATGAGTGGAGTGGTAATTTTGACAATATGGGAAACAAATTAAAACTGACAGAACTTTTTTTACAAGGTTGGTACAAAATAAATGATTTGCGGATGAAAAATAAGTTTGTAGATACCCACAGAGAGTCCCATAGCAGCAGGATCTACATCTGTAATGGTAAAATTTTCTGCTGACCAGTATCCTACACTTTATCTACCCAATGACACAAGCCATACACTCAGAGAAAGCCTGCATGCCGCCTTAAAATCAAAGAACCCACAGGATTTAGACCCATAGGGAGAGTCAGATCTTTCCTAAGCATATGGCTTGTGGCATTGGTTGAAAAACGCATTTTACAGGCTTTCTTCCCACTGTTTATGAGAGATGGTTTATTGCTATGACAACAGTGTGACAGTAACCATATGACAAAACCAGCCTAAATTAAAATAAAACCTCAATTCCGCACGATATTTATATTCATGTGATAAAAAGGTACAAATTAGCATGGGGTTCAGCAAATTGCATATTTATAGGAGAGATTCCAAAATTAAGCTCAAATTCCACATTAACCACATTATAAATATCAAATAAAATCAACAACAAATTTCAACTACTGCAAATTCCTTTCACAAAAAGTCACTGCCAATGAAAATGTTGCCGGATTTTGCAGAATTCAGCTGTTATAGTAGAACTTAAAGAAATTAGTCTATAGATCAAATCTTAATATTTCAGCCTGGCAGAATAATTATTACAAGGCTATTTTCATTCATGAATGTAAACAAATTGAAATGAAGCAGTGTGGTCAAAACATAATTCAATCTCACAGCAAATATTTTCCATTGAAAATGATTAGTACTCAGCTTTTAAGCTAATTTCACTGCACAACGCGGATTGGCTGCACCGTTTGCCTTGAATTCTTTCAAGTTTTCGAACAAACTGTGTTATAGTTAAAAAAATATTGGCCAGAACAGAAATAATCGCTGTATTGACTCTGTCAACAACTGCGAAAGTCAAGTTTGTTCAACGCTTCAAGAGATTTTTAGGAGAGAAAATAGTAACCATATTCATGAATGCAAAAAGTATTTCGCCAATATGGCATCGATTAATTTTATCTCTAGAACATATGGAAAGCGAAAACTACGTGCTGACGCGCGAAAATTTTATTAATAATATTATTTAGCTCCAATTGAAAAAAAAATTCCTGCATGCTTTATTTAACGAAAAGTTGTGCGCTGTGGTTCAGATTTTTTTTAAAAAACAAACTTGTTGTGTTCTCTGTTGCCCAGACATTTAATCTTTGTTTTCTTTGGTTGCAAGAAAATTAATATAAATCGAAAAATAGGTAGCTGGGGGGAAAGGGATTTCTTCTTAGCTTGAAATCGACTTTCTCGCTTTCCAAAATGTCCGCCGCACGCAATGCGAAAAAAACGTCGGCGTTCTAGAACGTAAGACAGATTCTACTATAGTTATGTTTTCGAGATAAATTGATTGATCGATATTGTTCCTGAGCTTTTAAAATCTATTCAAAACAATAGCATAAGCCACAAGCTACATGTAACAAGAAATTAAAAAACACACCATGCCAGATTGAATTACAAAAACATAGTCTAAAGTGGACTTTGCTGCAGCGTTCGCTACAGATGTTCAACAGAATGCCATCATGGAGCCCTTTGAAGGAATTCCACACAACACTGCGCTCATTTTGACGCTTTGAAAGCGCGTCAAACTTCCTTCACACTAAAAAACATCCTTCATGATTAATTTATCGTTATTAGATATTCTTTTTATTTTCTGCGAAGACCATCTTAACCTCAGGGACATAACTGCAGAAGTTATGAGTTGCGACGACAATGGATTTGTTAGAAAGAGCTGTGCAATGGAAGAAAATGTGGAAAAATAAGTCAAAACGTTCAACCGTTAAAGAATAATCGAGACGTTAGTTACCTGTTGTTGCGCGCTCTACACCCTACCGCCATGCGGCCGATTTAATAATATATTGAAATTTTACGATCTGAAAGACAAAGACCTCACAAAGAAATCGTTTGAATAGCGTTTGTAGCGTAGGCCTTCTTAAATCGCTGTAAATTACTATTCCGACGAGTTCTAGAAACAGAACCGTGGTCTGGTTTGCGAATAAATCCGGTTGACTGATTCCTTTGATATTTTCAAACAACACAATCGCCTATAATAGAATGCACACAATTTACTATTTCCGAAAAGAATAAAACTTTGGTCCCAAAGGATGTCGTTGATAATTCTCACACTAGAGCAGACCACGACAAGAGCAGCATCCAGGTAGACTGATGTTGTTCTGTCGGACAAAAGTAAGGGAAGAACTAAACGAGCGAAACTGAAAGAGGAATTTTTCCAAGCCGAGCGAATTTCTTCATATCTTAATGTGCTTTGTAGATCGCACAAATGCGCTCCGAAAACACACGTGTTAAAAAAGATATTCATTACAAATAGTACTCACATGTTGACATGACTCTAAAGTTAATCTGAATTTATCAAAGTTTGGTGTTTGACTTTCACTGGGCCCTGATTTTCTGCGCCGATAACTTTTCAGTGAATCAAGCCATGCCATTGAAATATGGAGGCCACAAACAAAAACTACAGCTTCCCACAGGCAATCTTTGCGATAATTTAGCGAATGGCTTTCAGTCCATATTGTCACAAACACCATGGACGCTTCAGGAAACAGTCACTGCAAAGACCTAAGCAGTGATTTGGAATTAAGGCTAGAGTTCCGGCGAAAAGTTCATAGAGATTTTCCACACGCCACGCAACGTGGCTTGACGAAACTGCGAAACTAAAAAGATCATATGACACTAATACGAAAATGCTTACCTCAAATTCGCCAGTTATCCTCTTCAGTTCATCCTCGAGGCTTCCTCTTATTTCTTGGCCTTCGTAGTGTTGCAGAACGGCGCTGAAACAAGGCACAGAAGCAGCAACCGTTAATATATGGAACACATGAGCAATAACCATCGTTCGTTCGAACACGAATGACGACATCGCAGAAGTAATAGGAATTTTCGAACGTTTACCTCGACAATTCTCCACAGTAAGGCAATTAAAAGCCCAAGCTTTAACACCGAGACAAGGCAACGTCGGTATCAGTAGTCACACAGAGGAGTCGATCTTGCTAAGTATCTCACATTGGTTGTAAGAGGAAATGAAAATGATGAAGGACAGAGAAGGGCCATGGAACAGGAGGGCTGGTAACCGAGGTAACGTCAAGCCATGAGACTTGTTCCTATGGTAACAAGCGTCCGAACCACTTTGCCGCCAAATTGCTAAGTTTCTTTTAGCCGATATAGCTCCCACTCAAAAACCACTAATTTATACCGGCCAATGCTTTGTCGAGAGCTAATATTCTGTTGTCGTTCCTAATAATAAAACTTTTCATTGTAAATGGCTGCTAAAGCTTTTTTTGACTTATGTAGCAAAAACAGACGGTTGTATTTCCCAAAATATTTTGAAAGGTTGTAGGAACAATAGTTCGCGCAGCGTTTGAAGCGAACAAAAAACAAATTGCTATTACTGGGAATACCACCTCTGGTTTTCGAAAACTGAACACAATAAGAGGCACCGCAAAGACTGTTTTAGCATGTCGTTTAATATATTACTTCCTCCAATCTTAGTGCGTAACGAGAAAGTTATGAAAGCGCGTCAAAAAACGGCCAAAATGACAAGCTCTAGGGGGACAACCCAACGTCGAAAATTTTATAAAAGCCTTCAAGCCTGTAGCTACGACTTTGATAAATACTTAAGCCAAAGAACCAATACCTGATAAGGATGGTCAATTATTTTGTTCGCGGGATAATAGTTTTACATTTTTCATGCGATATATCCAATTTATGCTTACGACGACGATTATATTCAATTTTTCCGCTCGCGTATCACCGTATAAAGTTTCCCTAAATCAAGGCAGTGCCCCGTGAAACAAATTACGAATAAAAATGTTAAAGTTAATTGGGCTGTTTTATAGCCCGCAAGACGTTTTGGTAACAACAAGGTATAAGTTAAAGTTGTTTTTAAAACGCCAAGCGCTGATACTGCGTCACCAGTTTCTATGGCGGCAGTAAACTAGAAACAGAATTCACTCCAAATCTGCTGTTTCCAAGCAATGCAACGTTGCCATTAGAATCAATTGTTTCATTTAACCACTTTCTCGACTTTCTGTTTGTGTTTGCCGAAAAGACTTATGTCAGTGTTTCACTCTTGACAAACTAAATAAATAATTCAAAGCAAAGGCACTGTCGAGGAATGATAAATGCTTGTCAAATACTAATCACCCTTGTGGAAAATGTGATCCTAATTTTTAAGAGCACACCAAAGAGAAATTTAATTTGAGTGTTGTTGTGAACCTGCTGAAACCTTCGCACCGGCATGCTTTTGAAGAGAGAAGGAAAGAAAATACTTCGGTTACTCCCATTCTGATAGAAAATGGAGCGTTAAGTAAACCAGCGAGCAGACGTTTGAGTGATTTTTTAAACCATCGAAGCTACTGTAGCAACGTCGAAGCTACATGGGAACGAAATCAAAACACGACCAAAATGACATCTTCTGTGTGATAATCAAAATACGGAGAGAAAACTCTAGAGAAAAAAATATTTACGTAACAGTTTTGATTCGTAGACGTCTGCGTCAAAGCTTGCGTGATTATTTTACTGTCTTGATATATTTCGTGAGGCTTCTACAAAACATTTTTCCATGCACTATCTCGGCGCCCGATGCTGCCATCATAAATCATGATTTTTTGCCAATCCAAAACATACTTCAAAATACCCGGAGGGGACCTAAAGGGAGCGAAAAATTACACTCTTGGAAATTAAAAAATGTTTCACAAATTTCAAGGGCCTTAATATCTTTTGCTGCTTGATAGCTGCATGGTATGCTGAGAAACATTGCGAGGCTATTAAAAATATTCGCTTCACAGTAATTGGCACGCGAAAAACGCTAAAGCCTTCGCTACCGACTGAAATTGTTTTAAATCTTGACAAGATTACGAATTTGGCTTCTGATGCAATTCGAGAAGTTTCTTGCAAATACAAATACGCATATTAGACAGTTCTACACACAACGAAAGAAAAATAACGATAATTAGACTGTGTAATTACAATAAGAGCGGGTCCTTTTTGTTCGCGTTGAAAATTAATTCTTGATTCTTGCTAATGGTTGGCAGAAACTAAGCGCAATTCGGTGAAACTCGGGTGCGACCTTTCCCTTCTTATGCAAAACTGCAGCATAATCAAATCTTGGTTTCTGCAATCATTAGTGTGTTATCGAACTTTGACATGTACGCAAATGTTGCCATGGGTAAACATTTAACTCGTAATTGAATCTCAACTTGATGTTGACGCGAAAAATTAAACAAAAAAGCAAATTGTGCCTTCCCACACAATGTTGTCGCGTTTATCCCAAGTAGATGCATTATCCAACCTTTTAATCGCACTTTGAAATTTTCCTCGTGCCGGAAACAGCGAAGAAAACTCAAATTAGAACAGAAAACAAAAACCACGTTATTCGACGTCGTAAACAATGGCCGCAACACCTGCCTCAAAGGACCGGCGAAGGAGAATTGTTGAAGTTTTTTCATTTAAAAGCACATTCGGGTTCTGTGTTTCACTCAGCTGGAAATGCATGCAACATAACACGGAATTAAATTTTCAATTGCTCCTGCATTGTTGGAAGGGTTCGTTTTAAGTTTCGCACAGCTGCCTTTGAGCGTAACACAGGACGCTGTTCAAAGTTTGCCGTTGTCGCTTAGCAATTATCTGCTTCATTCAACTAAAACTGAACTTCTGCGCAACGGCGACTGCATTTAAACGAGGGAATTGAAACTTAAAACTCGTTTATACATGTAAAAGCGAAAATCTGTAAATTACTTACCGTATGTATAATCAATTCGAGGTTCGAATGAGCCAAGCTTTTATATAGAAATTTCGTGAGAATATCTAAGACTTTCAAGTACCTTTTTACAAAAAATCGTACGTTTTAAATAGCTTAGCTTCATTTTGGCAGCCGAATGTACAATATGAAGTTAGTCTCCTTGACAACAAAAACAAGCACACCAGATATTATACCCTTCACTTAAACAAGCTAACAAATCAGCTGAAAAGTCGATGGGAAAAATAATTCAGTTTGTAAATATGCACTATCAGACTTCGAAGTTGCTATTCTAGTTTGCAAATTAGAATTTTTGCTACACACGGAGCCAGATTCTTAAGGTACAAAGTCAATTTACAATTTTTTTTTATTAACACACCACCCTCAAACTCTGACAACATGATTTGGTTTGTTCGTCGACCATGAAGACGCCGTGTGGTTTTCAAGTGTTGTTTCCTTCTCCATTAAATCTGAGTTAGTGTTAAACCCCAACGGCATGTTTTCCCAAGTAATGGTCTGAGTTAATGAAGTTTTGATTAATAACAAGCTTGTGGCCCTACCGCAGAAAATATCATGTGATCAGGCTTAAAAACCTCTAACCCTAACGAATATTTACAAGTTATTTACTTCCCCTCTCAAACGTACAGTTCAAACGCGAGGAGTGTCACGTGTTTAGGTCTAGCGTTTCAATAAAACTGCTGTGAACATTTAGTAACTGGGTACATTTCATGAGTGCTAGATTTATTTTAAAAAATGCTTACGCGGTATATGTAAATCAAAGACTGCACTTTCAGTTATTTCCGCAGAAGCCAACACTAGCTGCAAGCCGCGTGAGACAATACTGTGTGTCAGTTGATTAGTTTACCTCGTGCAAAAGTCGTTACTGATTATACAAAACTAACAAATCGCGTGAAAATATCAGACAGTGACAACAGTGAACAGATTGGCTAACTCCTGGAGTTGTCTGCATCGCCTAGGGCGAGAAATCAGTAAACATATGTTTAAATAGCGTCAGATCTTTCTTGGAATGTATTCAACCGTCGCGTTGACGCAGGATAAAGTTTTGATGGAACGTTCCATCAAAACTTTATTCCGGAACATTGTTCGATTTTCAACAGACAGCTAACTGTTTATTTTGCTATTGTCGGCTGGGCCAATCACAAACAAGTTTATAGTCTGGAAGGCGGAGACGCCGGAAAAAGCCACATGGTGCAGAAGATTGCACGTGTGGTTTTTCCGCTCTTTGATTGGCTGATAACTTTGAAAAAAAAAATGGTAACGTTTCGCACCTCGCGGATGTTCACAAAATGTCGGATTAAACTTGAATTTTGTTTTTCAAGGTGAAGAACACATGGAACAAAAGCAGACAATGCTACCAGGCAACTTTAGACACGCTGGGATAAACTCTGCTCGCAAACTGCTCTGCTGCAGTGCTCGTCAGTAAAAACACAAAAAAAGTGACGGTTATGCCCGCAATTATGGTTTTACTACAGTTATTCTGCTCGGTTTTATGTTAATTTTGAATACCCTGCTGAGTATTGCAATAGTTCACGCTACATCAATAGGGGCAAACTAAGTCGCAATAGAAGCATGAGAAAGAAAACAAAAAAATCTCAGGACGGCGAACGACCGTCGGCCATAAAACCAATCATTCTCGTCCCCAGACCCTTTGATAGAAAAGCGTTTAGCTCTGGGAGCGAGAATGCACATTGACAGAGAAAGGCAACGGGTTGATGATGGAGACGAAATATGATCGCAAAGATTAAACTTTACGAATGTGTTTAAGGCACTATGACCTGGAGAAGACGTGACACTTCCAGTTCTAGCTCTGCATTTTAATTTTCCTAACGAAAACAATTAAACAACTTGAGTTGGGAAAACATCCACAATATGTTAATGTTACAATCTGATTAGCTGAACTATCGTACAATACTTTACAATAGTATGAAATGGCTGGAGGTCTACTTAATAATAGCAGCGAAAGAAAGATACCGAGAGTAGACCAGAGTAAAAAGTGGTGCGAATGGTCGCTTCCAATCCCTCTACGCTCCCGATTTAAATGTAGGTGTACTTGGTTTTGGCGGGAGCATCAATGGCGACATTGACAGTCTTGTTGTTCTCTGAAATTGCCCTCACTCCCATATATGACAACAAGCCAGCAGTGGTGTTCAGACTGTCTTGCTTTAGTTTCAGGAATGCCTGAGCCTCGGCTTCGTAAGCTGCTCGGATACTCTCCGCCTCAGCGCGAGCTTTGGATAAAAGCACCCTGGCCGCGGATTCCGCGCGCTGGATTGTAATCTGTGCCTGCGCAAGCGCTTCCTCTCTATCTGTCTTCGCCTCAACCAATAGCCGCGGGCGCTGGTTTTCAGCAACCTTGATGTTTTCTTTCGCGGCCTCCTTGTTTCTTACAACCTCTTCGTATGTTTCCGGTCGCTTTATGTTTTGAACCTAAGTAAGACAATGGAAGAAACGACGTTAAGAAAAGAGAGTTTACTTAGAGAACGGAGAAAGCGAGAGGGGGACTGAGGAGAGTGGGTGAAGCACAGTTTCATTTACTCCGTTCCAGTCCTCTGTTGTCTTTCCTTGGTCGCCTCTTTCGTTCCAACGTTTAGTGACAAAAAGCCAGCTGAAAGTTAGATAAAACTTAATAACAACTTTTCTTGTCACGCTTAAAACAGTATCATACCAAGTGCAATATTACCCAGGCCATCTGATAGGCTTACGCCATATTCTACTTCATTTATTATCACTGGATTGTCCCGTCATTACCTGAAGATCTTCCACGTCAGCCCACAAGGTAGAAAATCGCCGTCCCAGGGTATTTCGGACGAGGTCCTGAAACGAGGCTCGTTGTGACTGCAGCTGAGTTGTGTTAAAGCCGCTACAGGCATCATGTATAGAGGACTCGCCAATGCTCCTAAAAGTATGAAATAACTGCAGGTTAACGAACTCAGCGAGTGAATTATCGGGATTTACCTGCACGAGTTCACTAACAATGAAAGAGAAAGTTCAATACCGCTCGAGGGTTAAGGGTATAAGGGTTTAAGAGGCATAACGGGTATAAAAGTGTAAGGGTATAAGAGTATAAGGGCTATAAAGGTACAAGAGGTATAAGGGGTATAAGGGAATAAGGGTATAAGGGTATAAGGGTATAAAGGTTTATACACTTATACCCTTAAACCCTTATACCCTTACATCCTTATACCCTTATACTTCTTATACCCTTATACCCTTATACCCTTATATCCTCAAACCCTTATACCCTTATACCCATATACCCTTATACCCTGAAACCCCTTAAACCCTTATTATACCTTTATACCCTTATACCCTTATACCCCCAACACCCTGAAACCCTTATACCCTTAAACCCTTATACCCCTTATACCCTTATACCCCTTATACCCTTACATCGTTATACCCTTATACTCTTATACCCTTTATACCCTTATACCCCTTATACCCTTTATACCCTTATACCCCTTATAACCTTACATCGTTATACCCTTATACCCCTTATACCCTTTATACCCTTATACCCCTTATACCCNTTATACCCTTTATACCCTTACATCGTTATACCCTTATACTCTTATACCCTTTATACCCTTATACCCCTTATACCCTTTATACCCTTATACCCCTTATAACCTTACATCGTTATACCCTTATACCCCTTATACCCTTTATACCCTTATACCCCTTATACCCTTAAGCCTCGCGCGGCATTGAAATTTCTTGTTCAGTGTTAGTGAACTCGTGCAGGTAAATCCCGATAATTCACTCGCTCTCCGTTCCTTTAAGACTGATTCCAATACCGCAAGAATTTGTTGATTGTCATAAACTGAATGTCTTACTTGAGAATATCCAGATAATCTTCGCTGTCCTTAAACTGCTTTATGATCTCTACGATGTTATTAGGTCGGGCTCGGTACTGAAGCTTGATGTTAAGCTCGATTAGAACGCCATCTTTGTTAAAGCACTTCAGCGCAGGATATGTAATGGTCTGGAACACACTCTTGAAAATGATGAATTTGTAACCTGGTGCGCCTGCGTGGAGACCTTCCCGCTTCACGGTACTTGACAGTGTTTTTTGATGGATATTGTAGGCTACACCCACTGATAATAAAACAGAGTATGTTTCAATTACCGGATTTCACTGCATCCATAAAACCACCTTGTACAGCAAAATAAACAGTACCACAAGAAGGTACTGCTCAGTAGCTTTTACTTGAATGGTCACACACTAGGGTTTCATCCACAGACATAAAAGTTAGAACCACCTTGTACATGCACACTATTATAAACAGTACTACATGCCTGAAGTACTGCGCAGTAGCTTTCATTTGAATGGTCACACACTAGGGTTTCATCCACAGCCTTAAAAGCGAGAAGCACATTGTACAGCATAATAAACAGTACCACATGAAAATAAGGTAATGTTAAGTCTGCATACGAGCCAAGTGGCCTATCAGACCGGTGCTTATCCTGGTTTCAGTAGCATGGAGCGATAAGGTGTATTTCCATGACGGAGCGCACGGGGCGTCTACTGTAAGTACCGCAGAGAAATGGTAGGAAATTTTCCTAGCATTCCTTACATACTCTCACTAGGGTTCTTCGTGTTGCGGCCAGGGAAGGACGTCATAATCTGTTTCAGTGACATGTTGATGATCTCAAATCAAAAAATAAACCCTAAAGGGCCGATGGAATATGAGACAAGCTTTAAAATAGAGTCACGATATTAATAGTGCTTTAAAAGTAAATAGTGCGTTCGAGTCATTCCCGATGCTTTCAAATGATG